AGTAGTAGTAGTAGTAGTAGTAGTAGTTAGTAGTAGTAGTAGTAGTAGTAGTAGTAGTAGTAGTAGTAGTAGTAGTAGTAGTAGTAGTAGTAGTAGTAGTAGTAGTAGTAGTAGTAGTAGTAGTAGTAGTAGTAGTAGTAGTAGTAGTAGTAGTAGTAGTAGTAGTAGTAGTAGTAGTAGTAGTAGTAGTAATAGTAGTGGTAGTAGTAGTAGTAGTGGTAGTAGTAGTAATAGTAGTAGTAGTAGTGGTAGTAGTAGTAACGGGCATGTGTCCCACCGGCAATTGGCGTTCGCTCGCTCGATCGATCGAGGAGGATCGACGATTGACGAAGAAATGAAATCGATCTGACAGTTCGTTCGATCGATCGACGGACCGCTCGGTAAAACGTGTTTATACACACACAAACACATATACGTATACCGTCGGCGGGAGCTTATTTTCGTGGTTCTTGGGAGCAACCGTGGTCTCGGGTACGTAGTAGTGGTGATAATAGTAGCGGTAGTAGCGGTAGTAGTAGCAGTAATAGGTAGTGGTAGTAGTAGCAGTAGTAGTAGTAGTAGTAATAGTAGTAGTGGTAGTACTTGATTTTTTTCTGTGTGGCTAGCGGAGGTTAGGCTTACTGTTCCGCCTCTCTATGATAAACACGCTCTCGTAATCTCGATTATCGAGGTGGAGTGCGTGATGGTCACGATCACGGTTCGGGGGGGCCTGCTCGTGGACCGGCTCCGAGGTGGCAGTGGCGGGGGTGGTTACTTGCGTAGGAAGTGGTGATTGATGAAGAGGTTGTGGTGGTGGTGGTGGTAGTTGCGGATTCAACGGGCTGCAACGGGTCAGCGTCGAGACTGACTCGCCGCACGCGTTTAGATTTGTCGACCTACAGAAAACACAGAGAGAGAGGAGGACAAGAGACGCCCACGATTTCTTATTGTTTTGTCGTTTTCGTTTTTCTTTTTCTTTTTCTTTTTGTCACAACAGCTATCTTGGCTGGCTCGACTTGCTTGTCGCCCTCCTCGCGGTTGCGCGTTTTGCGCGAGAATTGGCTTAGGGTCGGAGACACAAGACAAAAGAAACAAAAAACGAAGATAGAGAGAAAGGTAGCGGGGACATTTCTTCATTGACTATGCGACGATCTGTGAACTCTATTATCCTCATTGCTTTTTCTTTTCTATCTTTTAATCGATGATATATTATATCGATGAGATAGCACCCTGCGCCCTTTTTCTCCAAAGTCTCTCGACCTTTGATGCTATTCTCTAGCTCGCGTCGGCTCTCTTCTGATCCTTGCTCTGATCGCGATCTCGGCGCTTGTCACCGAGATTATTCTAGACCAGTATTCGTAGTCAATATTTCGAGCTGCCTAGTCGATAAAAACACCGACTGCAATCATCGCCAGACAAAATACATAGCGTTTTATATAATTTTTGAAAAAAAAAAAAAAGAAAATTACTTTAAGACCGATCCTTAACTTCATTAATTTTTTTTCGCGGTCAAACGATGTCGTTGTTGTCTCGGAGAAATTAGTGTAATGTCTCGTGTCCGACATCGTCGAAGCATTAGGGAATTGCAATCGTTGCTTCGTCTCGGCACACAGCCCAGGCACGTGACCACGAATGCGGGCCTCGGAGAAAAAGCTCTCTTGGCAGTGGCTGAACCGTCCAGCCCGTTCTGGATATATACGTGTAGGTATATAAACGTGCAATATCGATCTCTCTCGGTATAATTTTCGACAAACGCGACCACGCTTTCAGTAAAAATTTGCGCGACGTACGCTTATCATGAGGGTGATGACGGATGATGCATGACGACGAAATCTCAAAGGACTGTTCAAAGGATCGGAAACGATAGAGCACGCAAGGCAATATTAAGTCTAAATTACGACAGCAGTATCTCCATACACATTGAAATATATATTTATAACAAAATATATGATATGAGATAGCTAGCTTGCTGATTGTAGTGAAAGGAATGAAGAAGGACAACGATCAATATATCTGTTACAAAATGTTACATGTCAGTTACAAAAGCGCATGCTTCGCAAGTTGATGACGATGACGGAGAGTTGAAAGTACAACGTCATGACTGCGAAAAATTAGTTTGAGCTCATAATTACATATATGTGCAGTTCATTTTGGAACGGCCTCGCAATCGGCTTCGAACCTGTACGAGAAAATTTGTATTAGATATCGTGCGATCGTATTTGATTCTCCGTCTGTTCGAATGATAGTTCGTGGTTCGTATCGTCGGAAACGTTGCCTGTGCGTGTAAGGATAATTCACGAAGGAACGGAATAAAGAAGATTGGATCTCGGGTTAGCACCCTCACGACAAGCGCTCCGCGATAAGAGAGGCATGAGACTCGGTGTATTGACATTCGGTACCGATAATAATTGCACTCGAGAGAATCAAGCAAGGGCAACGGTGCGGTTTGACAAAACGATGACAGTGAAACATGGCTGGGTCGAATGAATCGTTCGTAAAAGTCGTCGCGGATTTCGGGGTCGGTTGGATGCGAATAACGAAACGTACGCGTGCACGTACGTTAAAGAGGTGACGTACGTCAAAGTCGCGAAAAAAATCAATGGCGAGTTACGAATTACGATCCAGAATAGGCATCACTGCAGTCGTATTGTGGACTTTTGGATGCCGCGATGGAAAATCATAACTGAGACAAAACTGTGTTGTCCTGCTACTACACGTGCAGTCCGCTTGGCGTGAAATTGCAAGATTAGTCGAACGCCCCACGCGCTACGCCGTGCCTCTTTACTCTTTTCTTTTTCCTCCCGTGCATCCACGGGGATACGTCGAAGGACGCGATGCTGCGGCTTTCGTTTTCACCATTCGTAGTTTCCTTCCTCGGTGTGATACACCGCCGTTCCAGATCGCGCGAGCCGCCATCTCGCGATCGCCGGCAATCTGAATCGAGCCGTTCATTCCTCGCGCAGAATCAAATCACGCGGTTTGGCGATTGCATAAAAAAAATCCGAGACCTTTCATTAAACGAGATCTTTATCAGCTTAATGAAATATTAACGAAATAATATCGACGATCTAACAAATTGCGTTAATAAATGACGTTAAGTACTCTTCCATTTTATTTTGCGCTTTTCAAATCGAACGAATACAATTCAGAAACCTACCGCTCGATCCGATTCGTTTATTTATGAAGAGCCGTGCTATCGCCTCTTACACGTGATATTTTTTCTCGTTCGTATTCGTTCGTACACCCAAGCCGCTCGGGGGGAAAAAAAAGAAATAAAAAAATAAAACCGAGTTTCGATGCAGAAAACGAATTGGTTATCACGGGGCGCAACTATCCATTGCAAACGATTCGCCGTGTGCTATTTGATTCGAGGATCCGATTCGATTCGGAGCGCCGGATCGCACGTAGCGAACTCGATTCTTTCGGTTCAAGCCTGAACGGAAACGCATGCACGCACGTGTATCGTGGTGTTGCGCGTGGGAGTGTTTACGTAAATTACTTATCGATTATCAAAAAGATCGTTTCTCCAACCTCGTCCAAAAATCCTCTGCTGCTGCGGTTTAGCTGCCGGTTTAATTGCTACTATATATATATATATATATATATATATATATATATATATACACACACACACACACACACACACACATCTAAAAGCTCATGGTGTTATATGGCGCAAGTAGATCAAAAGAGGTTCTGTCGTTCCTCGTTTCCTTAATCCCCCGTTTCAGAGGGATCGCGCTTGTCCTTTGTCAAAGTGGATCGAGCTGACGGCAGGAGAGAGAATGGATTTCTCTCCGTACGTCTTGCTAAGTCTTGCGGTCGTATATGTCTTTGTAAACGTGTCGCTGGTACGACAACGGCATGTCATCGTTACTTCCGATTAGCTCGTTAAATAATCGAGCGGTATTATTAATTTGAGAAGTGACATTGCGATAGAGGGATTAAAGCTATCGCTGCAAAAGGGAGTCGTTGGCGTAAGAGCGATACAAAGTATATTTGAAAATTTTGATACACTTGGGATGATATAAATATATAAATGTATATATGCGTAATTAAATATTATATCAGGTAAATGTTCGAATATCTCTGTTGGCTAGAAGATTATCCGTGAGAGGTTTCGTAAATGCGGTGCTTCGGTCGCCTATTAGTTGTTAAGAGTGAGTAGAGTGGCTTAATCGCTAGCTCTGGCTAAACCTAAGTGATATATGTTTCTTTGAAGTCGCATCTGCACTTTGTGACACATTTTGATGGTATAAAATTGTCGATTTTTAATGACCGTACGACCTACTTTATCTTAATCAAATGTTTCTTCTTCGCAACAATTTCTTAAGAACAGTCCGTTATCTTTATTAGAGCGCTTTGATACCGCTCTGTCGACATACTACCGTCAAACTTCGTCTACGAACATTTATTGATTGTCCGGAATTAATTGCATATCGAATTATATACAGTTGATTTCAAATAAATTTATTTAATACAATTGAAAAAGTATTATTTTTCATTCTTTATATGCTTTTTTTATGTCTTTGTAATTAAATTTTATTATATTTTTGAGAATCTCTAAGATTTTGATTAGTATAAAAAAAAAAACAGACTTCTAGTGCAGCTGCGACTCCCTCGGTCTACTTGTATGATCGTAGCTTTTGGGAATGCTCCAAAGTATTATGAGTCAAGATTCTTGGGGACCTGAGGGAATAACGGTGTTTCGGATGGTAGACACTCACTTTTTCAAAGGCACTGTTCCCTGGGGCCCCTGCCCTGCGCCGTTCCTGGCGTCGGTGACCCGGCAAGCCACCATATTATACGCTGAAAGCAGTTCTACAATGTTACATAACTATGTTAAACACATATGTTCAGATTCACAGGTGCATGCCCGGTGCCTGCGTTACCAGATCGTAGCCGTCTCTTTGGCCAGTTTTGGGCGCTGAATACAAATTTGTTGCTGTTATCACAATTAATGTGAGTTTTTAATTGAAGTTAAAAGACAAGCGAGCCCAAGACGGACCAAATAACGCATGATGTTCGCACAAACTGAATAATATGTTTACCTGACTTAAGCGTTCCGTTCCATTGCGAAAACAGACGTAATCACGTGTGCGAGTTAAAACGGTTAATTAGCAGTTAGTAAAGTCATATGCGTTCAAATCCAAACAATGGAATGTCGCCATTGTATGGATTTGTAGCGTTAGTTTTGTGAGGTCGGTTCGAGAGAATTCTGTCTCTCTTGCGAGAGTCAACATAGAGACGACACAACCAGGAGCACAGGTCCAGACAAATTGCGGGCAAAACGATGTACGATACGTCGGTAACGCCACGGGGCGTTCATACCTTTCTCCTGTTTTCGTCTTTTCCGTTTATTGCATATCTTCACCGCGCATATGCTGAGGATGATGGCGACGAGGAAGAAGAGGATGCCGCCCACGACGCCCGCGGTGATTGCTTTGTGTTTAACACGAGCCGGCACAGGAAACTTCACCTGGTCGCTCGCGCCGTAATTCGTGGCCGAGTTGGCGAACACTTGGAAATAGTAGGTCCTACCACCGACCAGGTTCTTCACTGTGGGCGTTCAACGTTAAACGGGAAATTGCATGAAAGCCGTACTCTTGAAAGTCGGTTATAAGTAATATTGGTTTCATGAGAGTGTTTGGGATTACTCGTATTCGGTGCTGGACGCCTGTCCGATGCTCGTAAAAAATTTTATGCATAATAATTTTATGCATAATGGCTGCGATCAACATGACAGATAGAGAGAATGAGACAGAGAAAAGCAATAGTATCTCACCTAAATAACTGGTCTCCTCGGGTCGTATTTGGCCCTTGTTGAGCGTTTTCCAAGGTCCGTCCGTCTTGTACTTGATAGTATAGTATTGGATAAGATGGGCTTTTTCCACAGGAGGTTGCCAGGTTATCAGGAAACCATTGCTGATTTCCGTTACCGTGAGGTTCCGGGGAGTACCTGGTTTTGGTCCTGGTGATGTAAATTGCGACGATTAGATGAGTCTAATTTTTTAGCAGTTTAAAGCGAAAAGAGAAAGAAAGAGATTTAATTTCGCCGTTGTGCAAAGTAAAAAAAAAAGTTTCGATGTAGGAAAAATCTTTTTGGCGTCAGCAAATAATGTTGCTATCGTAACTCCGAAATAATTCCGGTGATGCACCGAAATTGCAACGCCAGCGAAAAGCTTTTTTGATGGAAACGTTAACGCCGTTCCGACCGCAGCGACATTTTCGCATCTATCAAATCCATCGGTATTCGCGCCGTCGAGTTGTACATCTGACTTTTTTCATCGTTGCGTGTCTGGATCGACTGCGATATATCACTTGCGAAAAAAAAATTTTTTTTCTTTGCATTGACTAATGCAAAGAAATGCACAAATGTGCTACAAACATGATGAATCAGTCATGTCTATTTTGAGACAAGAAATATTTAATTAAATATACATGCTTTTATATGTGCATCATGACATGACGTTAAATATACATGCTTTTATATGTGCATCATGACATGACGTTGGATATCTCGATAAATAAAGATCGATTATGATGTTGAAATAAGACTGGTCAGACTGACGCTCATTATCTTCCATATAAAAGCTGTAAAATGTTTGACATTAATGAGAATAATGATATATATGATAATAAAAAATAAGAGTAAATTATATCAATATTAATAATTGAATCGTTATTTCTGTTTTGCTTTTTTGAATATGCCACTGGGAATGAAATAATTATTGATTGCAACTTCTTAAGTGGATTAGTCGAGCATGAGCTCAGCTTCTTTCATCATTTCTTACACATGTAATATTATGACCTAATTGCTTCCGACGTACACGGGTTAATCTTATTAAGTTCGAGTGGCATCGTTCCTTTCATACGTGCGATTTTATGCTGTAAATTAAAACACATATTCGTAAAAAAAAAAAGTATGAGCAAAAAAACAACTCTTGAGTTGCACAGAAAGGTGCGAATATTTTATTTGGCTGTCGATTTTCTTCCTTTTTTTATATTTCGCCATATTTTGATTCGCCCAATCTGCTCGTCGGGTTTATTCCAACAAAGCAAATATCTCGTTCCATTCTCTCGTTCCCTCCCGCTCCGATCAATTTAATAGCCACTGTTCTGCAAAATATCTCGGTGGAATTTATGAAATTGACGGAAATTGCTTCGTTATTGCTGCGATCGGCAAGCGTAAAAACTGTTTCACGATTGTTTGCTTTGCTGATTACGCATACGGACGGACCAATAAATTTCCTTGGTTGCGATCAGATAATACTGCCGCGGATCGGCAGCAGCAATCTCATGTTCGTTTCTTTGATTGGAGTTTATCAAAGTCCACGGATTTATCGTCCACTGGCGATCGAACTGGAAAATCCTTAGCACCATTCAAATTGATCAACATACCGTAAAGCCGGCAAGATTGGATCGAGTTTTCGAGATCAAAAGAAAACGCTTGAAATTGTCTCGTGAGACACAGAATTGAGTTGCATGTACATTTGTATGTATGAGAAAAAAAGGAAGACGACATACTTATCTTCACTGAAAGACCTGCTTTTGACATACAGATACGCGAGATAAAAGCTTATTCGTAACATTTTAGACAATACAGCAGCAACATATTTTTTTATAATGATTTTTTATCGTAAAATTATGTAAACGTATAACATTGACCAAAAAAATGAAAAATAACCGGCGAATAGGCCGATTTGGTTTGGCCATGAAATTAAAAAATTAGCGACGGGTATTGTTTCGAATATTTGCTTTGTATGTAAAATATATGAAGTTATTCCCTTTCTCTCCTCCTCCTAACTACCCATTACGAGCGCTTTTTCTCGCCATCGTCAAGCGAGATGCGAGGATTTTATATTTTATTAGTTTTATGCAAATAATAGTTGTTATTCCTGTGGAGAAATGTTCGCGTAGTCAGGGATTGTTATACGTGTGTATAAAAATTTTTGTTAAAAATACACACACAACGCGTCACGTTAAATGAACGGCTACTAAAGCTGCTGCGCGAGAATACAAATTATAATATGAAGTTTCCTCTTCAATGTAATTACGCACAAAAACTGTTGTACCCCAGAAATTATATTGCTGTTCTCTTTATTTATTTATTTATTTATTTACGTTGCTATTCTACCCAACGATCCAGATATGATTGAAACTCTACGCGTGGTAGAGGCAACTAAAACTTTCTTGGGTTTATTCAGCTCCAAAGCGGAGTAGATTGTTTGGAACCGTCTGTTACGTGCAAAATGTATGATGTTATTTCCTGCTCTCCCTCCCGGAATGCCTCCCGTCTAGCTCTCTCCAGTACGCCGCGGCTAAGAGGATTTCGTTTTTATTTTCCTCTGTATCTTCTTCACGGTATGCCGAACTATATGCGAGTGTGGGTGTACACGAACACGCGTTCCATTCTTATTGTTTTGTCGGTCCGCTTGACACTTATTTTCATGTCCACCATAGCATGTAATGGCGGTTAATCCCCCGTGCACGAAACGAAAGAGGTTCTTGGGAGGGGGAAAAAAAATGAATTTTTGTACCCTCTTCGCAGAACGAAAGATTCTTGCGAGGAATTCTCCGAAGTCTGCGAGAGAGAAAAAGAGGGAGATTAGCGATCGTGTGTCTTTATGTACACTTCCATAATAATGTGTCAGATGTGGGTGGTGAAAGCGACGATAAACGCTTTCGAATGTTTAGAATAATATAATAATAGCTATTTGATAATCAGTCAAATCCAGAATATTTTTACCGTACGCGAGAATCATTTTTACCGTACGCGTTCTATCACATAAATTAAAAATTAAAAAAAGAGAAATAATTATGTATACCTTTTGGTCGCACGATTGGTGGAAACACTGGGTTTCCTGTAGAATCAGTCGGTAATACGAGGGTTTTGTAATCAAGGATGTCTGAAATAAAAAAGATAACTCAAGAAAAAAAAAGAATATAAAAATTAAGCAAAAATGAATAAATTATTATTGAATTTGAGCCATTGAGAAATTTATATTATAAACTTGTAAAATAATATGATTTATATTTCCAAATCCTTGCAAATGAAATTTAAGTGAACTCATTATGAAATATTCTATTAATTATACTAGGTTCTGTTTCATCAATGTCATTCAATTTTAACTATAGCTTAAACATCCCTTTTTAGACATGGAGCACAATGCAGAATTATTCAACATTTTATTTCTATGTTCTATGAGATATTTTTTAATTAAATTCAGGAATGAAAAATTCAATTTTTTTTTTCACAAATTTGACAGAACAGCTAGCGAACTGAAATTAATCTTTTCACATGATAGATGAAACAAAATTTCACTCTTTAATTAATTCTGGTCTCTAGATAAAATTGTAAAAATTTGAATGAAAATTGAATAAAAATTGTAGCAAAAGGTATATAAATTTGTACGTTGGAAAAGATCGACTCTTGAAAGTTACTTTAGAGGATTCCTGTGAAACACGATGAGTTTTGGTTCGCTTTGTGTTCGGAGCAATAGAGGTATAGAAAAAGAAAATTTAGTTAACCGTGGTTAATCAGCGTTGTTGAAGCCGACCCTTTGTCGATACAGGCTAACGAGCAAAACCGATGATGATGCGGGCTTGTGCGTAGGTATAAGCGTAAGAAGCGAAAAAGTGCTACAACGAGAAAAAAGTATAACGAGAAAAGAATCAGATAGGCGAAAGAAACGCTTGAAAGGTAACCAGATAGAAATCCCTAGACGCCGGTATCGGGGATGCTCGAGGTACGGTGTGTACAAATGGAAGGCAATGAACCGGTGGATTCGAGGGAAGGAAATAAAAGCGGAAGCAGAATGAACGGCTCGATGGGTTTTCCGATACGATAAGTCGCCACGGAAGTCTCCGTTCCTTCCTTTCCTCCATCTCTTTTTCTCGATTTTCTCCGTTCCTCGCCTCATTCCGCATCCGCATTCGTTGTCTCCCCTGTTACTCCTCCCCTTTCCTTATCTTGTTGCCTTCTTCTCACCCTTTTTGTTCCTTCTCCCTTTCTTTTTTTTTCTCCACCTTACGGTTCTAGGAAGAAGTCGTGTGACTTTTCGACTTTTGGATCGATACTTCGATGAGACGATCAAAGCAGAGCGAGAACGACACCCCTCACACATGAATTTCCCTTCGATAGTCATCGAGATGCCATTCTCAGCTTACGAAGTGAGTCATACGAAGTGAGTCACACGCGGATAAGCGTCCAAGATAATCCGGCAGCCGTTCGCGTTTCGCTAGCTTGCAAATTTAAACTAGCAGTAAAAATCGACTATTTTAACATCTTGAAGGAACTGCGCCGTACCTTGTTTCTGACGCGTTTAAATTTACGATAGCATAACGGTATAAACGGTTTATAAATAGATTGTATAAAACACGTGGCCTTTATAAAATCTTATCTTGTATTTTATCACCCATTATATCATCATTTCCGTTATTTTAATAGTATTTAACTTTTTTCGAATCTTACCACTTTGATCCGAAGAGGCGGGTTGATCAGGCGCAGAGGGAGTCGCCGACTGGGTCAGGGCAACGCCTTGGAGAACGCAGCGATAGATGCGAATAGTGAGAAGGAAATTTATACAGAGAGCAATTATTAGTTTGTTAGTCAGTGAATAGATCATAGCGATTTGTTAATTATAACTAGTTAGATTAGCATTAATGTCGATTAGCAAATATCCGTAGTTAGTATTTTTAATAGATGAATACATGGTTAGTAATTACTCATACAATCTCATATGAAATCATGTTTCAAGATTATCGAGTTTTGCTTATTAGATTTATGTGTAATTTTTGTTTATCTTTTACTTATCATTTATCAACAAAATTTTCAATGTAATACTAAAATAATTTGAACATATATAAATATGCAGTTTTTAATACCGAGCGTCCTGACTGTGATGATTTTGCTCAGCATTCCTTCGCCCAGGGCGTTCTTCCCGATTACTTCAAATTCGTAGAGCGTGCTAGGCGTGAGGTTGTTGATCGTTACCGTTGTGCTGCCTGATGGAGTCACGGGGATTGTCTTCCATTCCGAAGTTCCTGATTCCCTATACCTGAACAGAAACAGCACAAAAGAGAAGTTAAAAAGAGTAAAGCACTTCATAAATATTTTTCAAAAATTTTAATATAGACTCAAAAAATTTTATTAATTTATCTCTGAACAATAAATGATCTGAATATCAATGATCGCTACGTGCGCCACACATTACAAAATTGCTTTTGATATACGAAGGATTACCGCGTCCGGTTATTCGGGCGAAGCAATTATTGTTCATCTCTATAGGAGGAACCTTAAGTGGTAATACCTATCAGCCTATCCCGTATACCTACCAGATAGTATAATCTTGCTTGTAATCAGGACCACCGGAATAGCCTGGTAACCAAGTTAGTGTTACCGAGAATTGCGTGGCAGTGCCCGACACGTTGTAAGGTGCATGGGGTTGCGTGCCCTCGACGATCAGTTGCGTCGAGGACGAAATGGTGGCGACTTCGTTGGATGCGACGCACTGATAAAATCCGAAATCCGCACGTCGAAGGCTCTCTATTGTTAGATTCCCGCCATTGGTTTTTGCGCGAGTGCGTTGGATGGGTCCGCCATCCCTCTGAGATAATGTTAAGAATATTTTACAAAACTGCAGCTTGTTGGAAATATTTCTTACAGTACAGATCTATTATTTGAACAATACAAATGTATAAAATACTTAAAAAATCGAGTTGCATTAGTTTTCGTATTATTTAAGAAATAGGTAAAAAAATTAGGAAGAATATCAGATTGTCTTAGATCGTAATAAGTACCATAATTAAGAAAAAAATTCTGACATTAAAATAATAATGAAAATGCTGAATTCAATCAATATTGTTGCAAAATGATCAGAAATTAAATGGTAAACTTTAAATTCTTTTAATAATGTTCTAGCTAGATATTTTTTTTAAAGACTGTACCCGATGCCATTGTATCGTTGGTTTCTGCGTTCCGTCGGCCTCTTGAGCGTCGCAGTGCATTTCGACAGTCTCGCCGACCTTCTTCGTGTACACTGGTTCTGGCTCGAGGGTGAAGACAGGTGGGTTCCGTACGAGGACTTCCATCGGACCCGAGCTGCCCTGCGTGCCCTGGGCGTTATAAGGCGTGCAGGTATATCTGCCTTGGTGATTCTCATTGACCCGTGTAAAGAGCAGGGAGCCGTTGTTCATGATAACAATATCTTTCGTCTGATAAGGCTCGAGTAGGCGTTTATCCTTGGTCCAGGTCACGTATTGCAGGGGCGGGTTGGCTTTTATGTAACACTGGACCACACCAGCCAGACGGAACGGCAAGTATTGAACAGTGGGGGTGAACGTAACCTTCGCCGGGTCTGAAATTCATTTAGAAATTTTACATTTAGAGCTTAATTTTTCATTTACACCACTCAATCTCTTGAACATTTAGATCCCTTTGGATTTCCGTTTGACTCTCCAATTTAAATGTTCAAACAAATCTTACACTCGACGTTCAGATAGGCGCTTGCAGTCTGAGGATCGCCGATGCCATTAGTGACCTCACACAGATATTGACCGGAGTCATCGGCGCTGACGGGGTTGATAACCAGGCTACCATCCATCTTGATGGACACTCTGGTATCCAGGGCCGAGACTTCCGTGACGGGGGCTCCTTCGCGAAACCAACGCACCGTCACGTTACCTGGAAGTGCCTTTGCCTCGCAGGAAAATTGCACTTTCTCGCCTTCCAGCTTCGTTTGATTCGTCGGCGGTACCATAATAACGGCTCCACCTGCGAATCAATCAAACACACGAATCTTATTACATAGCTTCAACTGCTTGTCATCGACAAGATATCAAAGAGGCGAGAGATCGATTATCTAGCCATCCGAAACTAAACGCAACCGGTGTATTCCCGCGGTAGTATCTATCGTACACAGAATCCGTGGTGGCGATTGACCGCTGATATTGGTTGTCTCGCTGTCAAAGATCCCGAAAGAGACGACAGCACCGCGATGCATCTGACTCGCCGTCAGGCCGGGCAGAGAAACAAGGCGCTACATCGTCTTCATCGATTCTCGATAATGTCTCTCCCTGTCAGTAAAAAAACCGCGACAAATGGATAGATGAAAGCGGTACAAGCCGATTGGTGGATATAGTCGCGAATTTGCCTTTCACCTCTGTGATTTCTGCGCCTCCGAGTCTACGAGAGAGAGGCGCTCAACAGGGTGCATTATATCTTCATCGATATCCAACGCCGTCCACGCCCACAGCGCCCGTTCCCGCGCTTCGTATTCACGCCCGAAGAATTTCAAAACTTGCGGCTTCGCCTCAGAAGCGAATATCTCGCCGTATTATAGTGGAAGATCGATTCTTGCCGCACAAAAGACCGAACTCCACCTTCGCGCGATTCCGCGGCATTTCCGCAATCCGATCTATCGTCATTCGTCGGGATTACGGGAGCCTTCATCTCCTCGTTACGAGATGATGAAGGGAACGGAAATGACGGAGGCGGGGAAAAGGGGGGCTCTTTAAAGCGAGCGAGCATACGCGGAATTGTCGAGGAATTAGCGACATTGAGATTTGCACGTTAAAAGGCATTGATTTGGTTTGCCAGAGAATGCTTCGTTAATGAAATCCGAATCTTACCTTAAAATCCATAATAGTAACTTTTTATTTTTTATCGTATCACATGAGATCGCGCCCACATGCGTTGGTTCCCCGGGAGGGAAACGTTTGTATATTTATATTTTGAATCAATATTTATATTTCAAATTCTACGATTGTGAATTATATCGTTCGAATAATGAACGGCTATCGTCCGCTCGGCAATCTCCATCGCATCTCTGCTTTTACATTTTAATTTCGGACATGTGACACTCAAAATCCATATACACGCTCGAATTTGAGAGATTGCTAGTTGGCAAAGTAAACAGGGTATAGGTGTCGCGCAAACAATGTGTAAATTTATACACACGCAAACGAACATCGCGATACGTTTCGCTCCCATGAAGCTGCAAATATATTGACGGACGTTTGAACAATTAAACATTTGGCAGATTGTTGCGGTGTTTGCCGTCCTCGCGTATCGATATAATCAAATTTGAGGTTGCGAAATAGCTTTCTGGTGGAGCGACGCGAATGTCTGACGGGGGGAGTAACGATCTCGGGGAGTAGCTGACGAGCGGAAGTAAACGCGTCGGCTCCCGAGAAAGGGCTGGGAAACTCCAAGCCGCAAGAAATATCGCGCTCCCCGCACACAGACGAAAATCTGTGAGAAACGAGGGCAACGATATTCTAAGCTCTGCGCCCGATGTCTCAATATATTGCATCGAGTTGCACCGCTCTCTTCCTCTTTCCTCGAGGAGACGCGCTACAATGCGCGCCAGCGGTGCATGCCGCAGTCAGCGCAGCGGCGCGACAGGAA